ACTTTTGAATCGTATCTGTGTATACTCCAAGCGGTTTCATCGGGTTCGACCTCTCATCTCTGAATTAATAAGCTTGGTTAAGTTACTAACAATGTTTGTTTGTTTATTCATACCAAGTGGTTATAACTAGTTCAAACATTTTCTTGAATGTCTTTTTTAACATATGGGAAAACCTTAATTCCTCCGTCAATTTTAAGATCGAAACTTTTTATTGTAGATATATTTAAGACATTTAGAAATACATGGTGATTAGAGTCTGGTATTATTTTTAACGTGCAACAACAGGTCCATTGCAAAGCTTTGATTTGAAAGTTAGAAGTCTGTCTATTCTATTCTAAACGAATGGACAATTTGGAGGTTATATTCATAATGGGGGCAACAACTTCTTACATCAGAATTACTTTTGAGAGTTTGGCATTTTTCAATTGGTATTGCACACACCTGCTACCATGCGCTCATTTGAAAAGACTTCATATGTGTAAGGCTATTATCAACTTTTTTAACATTCTAAATAATTTTTATCGCTGTTTTTCAATCTAGTTAATACAAAAATGTATTATTCGATTTACGTACACATTTAAAACATGCTCCGAGCGTTGTGATACAATTTTTAATTAGTTTATTGTAAGTCCTGTTTATGATATTTGGAACTCTGATTAGATATTATTAATCATAAATTTAAATTAAAATTTATAAATATGGGTCAAAGTAAAATGATAGACAATTGTATTTAATATTTTGTATTAATTATGAATTTAAAATTTTAATATGATTATGATTATTTAAATTACTGACATGAGTATTTGGGTGTCTATGATAAGTATCATTAGTATTGATTGACGTTTAAACATTATAAACAAAACAAAAATACATAACCTAAAAAAAATTCGAAAGAAAGTGTAAAGAAGTGTTTTTCTAAAGATGTTTAATCCACTTGAAACAAAATTTATTATTAAGTTATTTGCCAACCATATCTGAGCTTTCATTTTGATGATATCCATTATATTTTAATAAGACTCTAAATCCGATTATACCAAAGAGCCTATGATGAATATTTTTTGTGCATGGTAAAGCATCACCTCAGACCAGTTTGGTAATTGAAATAAAATAATTTTAAGGACCTAAAACGGCATGAGGGAGAGCCTAGTATACCAGCTTTATTGAGTAAGGGAAATGATCCTCAAACCTCAAACCATTCCAAAAAAAGTTACCGCAAAATCGGATGGGTAGGTACTATTGGTTTGACACTTTTACATATAAAAAAAAATATCAGAGAATGTAAATAGTATGTGTTATTGTCCCTACACACGCATTAAATATGCGCACGAACCACCGGCACTACTTCTCCGCTTCTTGCTAGTATGCACCCTTGTCGCCTTGCGTGCGCCGGTTGCGCAACCCCCTAACCTGCGCATCTCCACCCACCTCATCGAAACTAAGACCATCACAACCCTTCATCAGCTCCACAGAACCCAGATCTCGGGTTCCAATTCCCAATCCATGTCGAAGGCGCGTGTCTACACTGATGTCAACGTTCTTCGCCCCAAAGAGTACTGGGATTACGAGTCTCTCACCGTTCAATGGGGGTATTTTTCCCATCTCTAATATACTTCTCATCGTTTTGTTGATTTCTTATCTAATTTGTTTTCAAAGCTTTCTGTTGCGCCTTGATTAGCCACAATTCTCAATTGATGGATACTTTTCTTTTTAGGTTATGACCCTTAGGTGCTGTTTTTCTTGTTTTGGTTACTTGTCCTCCATTTCAAATACCTAAACCTTTAACAATTTTTTGTCACATTCTTTTCAAGTCTTTATTTCCAATGGGGATGCTGAATGTTGTCGTTTGTGTTATGATTATATTATTGGATCTCTCGGCCCTCTTACGTTCGTTATGTGGTATGAACTCGGTGAAGCCGATTGACCATGACGAATCACCTTGTCATTTGAAATTGGTTGATGTAATTGTTATATGTAGTCTAAATTGAAATACTTAAAGATTTTGTTGATTCTGTGAGCAAGGTTCATCGCCAGGGTATTCATTAGGTCTAATATTGATGGGGCTTTACGTTTCCCATTCCAATTATCTTATTTATGAATTTTCTGTGTGCTCTTTTCAGCGATCAGGATGATTATGAGGTTGTGCGAAAAGTGGGAAGGGGGAAGTACAGTGAGGTTTTTGAAGGCATAAATGTTAATAGCAACGACCGCTGTATAATCAAGATTCTCAAGCCTGTTAAGAAAAAAAAGGTGAGAGATTTTGTTATTACATTGATGCTGTTTTCGAACTTTGGGACCTGCAGAGTACGAGTAAAAGGTTGAGCAGGGGTGCTTCATGAGAAGTTTTCTCCTAAAATTTACGCACAAGTTTCACACATACTCTTTCACTATTTTCTTTTGAGCTATTGGATAACAACTTGACAACTCTGCACAATCTCCTAACACAGTTCTGCAATAATTATTTCCAAAAGAAAAAACATAAAATAAAATACATAACATTTGACCTTTGGAAGTTATACTTTGAATAGAGAAGAGTAGCTTCAAAGTTCGAACTAGTTCACCTTAGCTGAAAATTTGTGTAATTATGTGTCCCCCTCAATTTTGGTGGGCTTTAAGGATTATGAATTACACGAGGCTGTTTGCATGGATCACATGACACTCTTTCCTTCAATTATAATACTGTAGTTCCAACAATGTTATTTTGGGAGATCTCGCATTGATTTGAGATAAGACTAATTTATTGTATATAAGTGGGTCAATTCTCACCGTACCTTATAAACTAGTTTTGTAAAAATGAGTTAGACTTAAACCCACTTCCTAATATGATATCAAAGCCTAGTGAGGTTTATTGGACTTATTGTGTCACTTGCTATTGGACCACCTCTAAATATATAGTCCCAAGCATGAGATGTCTATGTCTCATCATGAAAGGAGGTGTTGAAGATTCTACGTGGATTAGAGATCTGATCAAATCCTCACCTTACTAGCTGGTTTTGTAAGAACGATTTAAGTTTAAACTCATTTCTTAATAGTTATTTACAATGAAATCCTTGTTGACTACTTCCTCCAATGCGTATTGGCTTCCCTCTCCTCTTCATAGAAACCAAAACCATGTATTATTCCTCTAGTTCTTCCTAGGTCTTCTTTATACATGTATAAACCACTTTTATCGATGCATCTCTCATCATATACAATCATTCCGTACTTTTTTCTTTCTTTCTTGTATGACCACACATCTATCTTTACTTGTTTATGCTATTCCAACATTTTTTCTTGCTGTCCCTTTAAGCCCCAACGTCACTACAATAAAATATTGTTGAGTGTATGGCACTAGGATAAAACTGGCCTTTGAATTTGGTTGGCACTTTTCAAACATAAATAGCCCCCACTATATTTCTACATTTGTGTAACATTCTCGTTTTTTTTCCTTGCATTTTTTATTATACTTTAAATATGCTGTATGACATCTTTTCTCAGTTTATCTTGAGTCACATTGTCTCTTGCTAAAATTACAGTGCATATACTTTGTCTTAATTCTGCTCTAGTGTTGGCCCTTAGCTTTCAAAGTTGTCTCTGGAGTTTTGAGTTGAGAGTTAACTGCTTCCCTTGGTTTCTTAGCCAACATCGTGCCATCTACAAAAGTGCATCAGCATGCAATAAGGGGTAGACTTTTTTGTATATCCCTAGTATGCATATCCATGATTAGATTTAAACAAGGACTTTAGGCATCTGTGGGGCATCCACTTTTTGGAACAAAATGCTGGAAAGGAGGGGTTGAGATTGCACACCGAAAACAGGACATAGAGCTGTTCTGCTTCACCTTGGCAACCTGCTTCTGCAATTCTTAATTTTTAAATTATTAGTGGAGTTGGTGGCCAAACCTTAAGTCCAACTTGTAATGTGAATCATTTGGGGCATGAAGAAATACGACTTCAATTCCAATTTTTTTATTAGAACTTCAAAGTGCTCTTCACATTTTTAGATTTAGTATATGTCTTCTATTTTTTGAAATACATTTTTTATTATATGGTGTTTCATGTAATGAAACATTCAGTTTTAAGAGATTTTTATGTTACATTCTGATATATTTAACTTCTTTTTGCAGATTAAAAGAGAGATAAAAATACTTCAGAACCTTTGTGGGGGGCCAAATATTGTTAAGCTTCTTGATATTGTCAGAGATCAACACTCTAAAACTCCTAGCTTAATATTTGAGTATGTCAACAGTACGGATTTTAAAATTTTATATCCAACCTTGACGGATTATGACATACGCTATTATATATACGAGCTTCTCAAGGTAACCTGATTTTTCAATCTCTCATGCTATACCTGAACTATATATTTTTCCTTAAAAGTAATTGTAGTATCTTTGTTTTGAACAAGGTTTAAATAAATTTTGCTTCTGATTACGTGTATAGGCTTTTTGTGTATGCATCGTGTAAAATATTATTACTTTACATTTTCAGAAATACATGTCAAGGGCCTTTTTCTTGTTAAATGAAAGCTTTTTGTGTATGCATCGTGTAAAATACTTTACATTTGCAGAAATACATGTCAAGAACCTTTTTTTTGTTAAATGAAAGCTTTATTTGTGAATTGCAGGCCTTAGATTACTGCCATTCCCAAGGCATAATGCATAGAGATGTGAAGCCTCATAATGTTATGATAGATCATGAATTACGGAAACTCCGGTTGATAGATTGGGGTCTCGCTGAATTTTATCACCCTGGAAAGGAATACAATGTTCGTGTGGCTTCAAGGTAATGTTCTGACCAATTGACTATGGTCACAACTCTATTTCTGAAGTACAATAATAAAAGATTTATACAATGGATGAGCCTAAGGATATTAGTATATAGCATAAATCAAAAGCATCAAGGTATAGTGAGCTCATTTGAGTATGAATTTTTGATACAAATGAATTATTGGAATTATTGCTTCCCAAGTAGGGATATATCCGCTAACATGATTCAGAAGATGTGGAAACTTGATCAAAATATTTTATGATTGAAAACTAAAAATCAAAATAACTTTTTGGTTTTAAAAATTGAGTTCAAAGTGTTTCAAAATTGAGTGAAAAAATAATTTAGCTCCTCTCTAACTAAACACGGATTGTTTTAATAATTGTATTTGAAAACCAATGTTTAAAACCATGCAACCACCTCAAACTGGTCTATTCCTAAAGTATTTGTCAACCAATTGTGTTTTCCTTGGTTATCAAACTCAAGTTTTAACTCCCAAAAACGTACAAGCTCATGCCTCTTGTACGAGTTGACTCGTAGAATCGTATTTGAGTGTTTGAGTGGGCTCCATGTAAACTCCGGTGAACTTGTTTGGAGGTCGCATCCCAATTGGCGAGTTCAGCTTCTTCTTTTTTAATTATTTGTTTGATTGAAAACGAGGCCGCTTTATGTCATTTTGCTTGCAAAGATAAGAGAAAGGAGAAGAATAGGGTTCTTGGCTATCCCATTTCTTTGTTATTTCTCTTTGTTGTTGCTAGTGGAAATTTTGGACAATTGCTACTCTCATCATTATGGTTGGTCTGCTCTCACCTCCCTTCTCTGTTTGCGATACAATCATGACATCCTTCTCTGTTCTTGTGAAGCCTGACTTCTTTGCTCTTGCCATGCTGTTCTCTGTAATGTCCATCACCAGCCATTCTCTGTTTTGAGGCTGAAGCAAGCAGCAACAACATCTTCTCCCTGCAGTGCTGTGGATTGTGAATGTGTTGAAGCTGCACAATCATTCTTATTCTCTCTGCTGCGCATAATTTGAAACTCAATCTTATTTGAAGATATTTCTCTTTTCTTAGTTATTTTAATTTTATCGTATTAAGAACTTACGTCTTGTATGAGCTTATGTTTTACTTGGTGTTGCTTTATTATTAAGGTTTAATATTTTGCATTATTATATAATTAAAATGATCAATCGTCATGTTATTTATAGGTATTTTAATAGTATCCTATATGAAGTAAACCCTTAATTACAATTCGACTTTACAAGTGTACAAACATCTCATGAGCTTATTTAAGCTCTCGTTTTCAGCTACCTTTTATGTTTAACCTTTCAAGAGACAATTTTGAACAATTACTAGACTATTTTTTTCAGAAGCTTATAGTACACTAAGCTCTTCATAAACATGCATAATTGAATGAGTACTGTCAAGGATCAATGTGCAAGTGTTATCTAAAGAGACAGGTGACTAGTTCAGGCATATTTTTGTTGACACTGAAGCAGTTTAACCTTAATGATGCGAGCTTGATGTAGCAGCTAATGTACACGCGCCAAAGTTACTGTACTTTTCGTTTTTAGACTTGTTAAATAAACCCATTTCGCCATTTAATCCATAGTTCCTACTGAGCAATAATTTAAAGGTATAGCTGAAGATATTAAAAACAAGACCAGTCATTTCTTGCCATGTGTGAGGGCTGTTAGGCATAGAAGGGATACCCAAGAAGGAATGGGGTTGGAAGAACTATTTTCCGGGGTTCCAAGAACTATTGTTATTTCCAGCCGAAACATACCCTAGTTCATTTTGTCTGGTTATGTAAATTTCTGTCAACTAATTGTTAGTAAACATATTCAGCTCCCTAATCTTACACTTGGTTTATAGTTATGTAGACATTCTCAGCTTCCTTCTAGGCGCCAGCGTCAATTCACTTTTGGATTTCCCCTTTTAATTGTTTCTAATTTGCCTATATTTGTTAGTTAGATATAAAATTGACGAAGGAAAGATATTGTTTAGATTTTGTCAGACTTGTACGATAGTGCTATATGGGACTAAGTTTTGGAAAAGTTTATGAATGACCACCAAAAAAATGTCATGTGCTATGCTTTTACTTTGCAGATACTTTAAGGGCCCTGAACTTCTAGTTGATTTGCAAGATTATGACTACTCATTAGACATGTGGAGTCTTGGCTGCATGTTTGCTGGAATGGTGAGAATAATCTAACTATAGTCTACAACTTACTGGTTATATGTGCCAGACCCTTGCTATTATTTAATATGAAGTCTAATTTTGAATCTACAAGTGTAAGAGCGTGTAATGTGGGTTATAATCATTTTATTTCGTGTAGATATTTCGCAAGGAGCCTTTCTTTTATGGTCACGACAACCATGACCAACTAGTCAAAATAGCTAAGGTAATATTTACGGTGGTTCAGTAATGTATAAAATTGCTAAATCAATATGTTGAGACTCTGCCAGTTAATCTGTTTAAGCTTCTTATTGAAATATCTTCTCATTTTACGGGGGAATCTTAAGTATGACTGAATTATTTGTTGTTTAACATGCTAAAAGATATATTTCTAGACCACTTTTCCCCTCCTTTTGATCATTTAGGGAGATACTTTTCTTTCAAGGTCTGTAGGTTTTGATTTTCATTTTCTTTTCTTTTTTCTGTGATCCGTAGGTGCTTGGTACTGATGAACTGAATGCATATCTGAATAAGTATCATCTGGAGCTTGATCCTCAACTTGATGCACTAGTTGGAAGGTATCATATTCTATTTTCATTTTCTACTTTTTTCATACCAGTTTAAATATAGTGAAATTCACATCGTTCTGTCACTATTTCATGCCAATGCGGTATAATTAGAGTTCTCTTCTTAGAAGTTTACTGCTTTTCTTTGACTTTCTCTCTTCCTTATAGATATATGCAATATTAATATTTTTACACATGTGTTACACTATTGCATTTGCAGGCACAGTCGCAAACCTTGGTCTAAATTTATTAATGCTGATAATCAACATCTCGTGTCTCCTGAGGTAATTTAACCCGTATTCCATTATGGCATTGGGACTAACCAACTAGTTTATACTGTAATGAACTATTCTCTATAAAGGGTCTTTAATTGATTCAAATTATCGGATATGCAGGCAATTGATTTTCTTGATAAGCTCCTTCGATACGATCACCAGGACAGGCTTACAGCAAGAGAAGCAATGGTATGAAGAGCTCATTAATTTACCGTAACATGGTTGTTCTTGTTGTGAGTTAGTTAATTTTCACTATATTATGGTCTTTTTGATTTAACATTATTTTTCCTTGATGTATTCCCATAGGCACATCCATATTTCTCTCAAGTAAGGGCAGCTGAAAGCAGCAGAATGAGGACACAGTAACTTTATCATTTGTGATAAACCTGAGTTAATATGTGGGATTGTTTTATAATACCCAAGAACATGAGGCATGATTGCCTTCTGTTAATTATAGTTTGTTAGATTTGTTGTGGAATGTAACAATATCATATATCTTGTTCCAAGGGAATAATCTGTTAATCTGTTGAAAAATTAAATTTTATCATAAAAGAGTTGTGGTTTGATATAAACTCGGAAGACACCTTTAAGCCGGTGTTTATTTTTTATTAATATTAGATAAGAAAAATAGTTATTTTTCTTTGATATCATTTTTATTATAAACTTTTCTACATGAGTAATAAGCTAGTTTAAATATATCTATTTAGAGTTTTCCCGCTATCAATTTTCAAGAAAACACAGTTTTATTGCATGTATTGATTGAAGATTACATCGTAAGATTATAATTAGACTTTAGAAAACCAAAACAAGATATTTTTAGTTTCACTTTTTTAATTACTGTTACGATTTCCATCAGAAAACTTAGCCTGCTTGTTTATTATTTATTTGGATAGTATTATTTTGACTTTCAACATATTTTTAAGCATCTGTGTAGGTATAAAAAATATATTTTCCTATTTATTTTTCTCTAAACTTTTCTGTAGTCCACTTTACTAAAGGGTCAAGTACATGCTTGTCAACTTCAGCTTCGCTGCCAAATAATTGAAGTATAATTTATTCTTCTTCTTTTTTATGTTTTCTTTGGGTTAAAATGGAACCGGAGAAAAAGAAGATAAAAAATGAGAATGGAAAATAAAATTGTTTGAATTGAAAGAATGTAAAAACAAAATGAATAAAAAGTTGTAAATGTAATTTGATTAATATGATAAAAAAAGGTTAAATATTTTAAAAACAAACTAAAACATCCTTATATTAAAAATAAAATTGGACTGAAT